AGGCATCACAATCCCTGACTTGAAATTATACAACAAAACTACTGTGATAAAATCAGCACAGTACTGGCAAAAAACAGACACAAGGATCAGTGGAACAGATTAGAAGATGCAGACACAACTACAAACACACTCAGCCGCCCTATTTTTGACAAAGGGGCCAAACATATTCACTGGAAGAAAGATAGACTCTTTAATAAATGGTGCTAGAAAAACTGGCTATCTACATGCTGAAGACTAAAACTAGACCCATGTCTATCACCATGCACTAAACTAAAGTCAAAATGGATCAAGGATATAAATGTTAAAACAGAAACACTGAATCTAGTGGAAGAGAAAGTAGGTAGAAATCTTGAAGACATAAGGATAGGCAGAGAGTTCATGAACAAAAACCATACTATACAGGAAATACTACAAAGAATCAACAACTGGGATCTCATTAAAAACCTTTTTCACATCAAAAGAAATCACCGAGAGTGAAAAGACAACCCACAGAGTGGGAAAAAATTTTAGCCAACCGTCCCTCAGACAAAGGACTTATATCTAGAACATATAAAGAACTGAAAAAAATCAGACACCCCCCCCAATTTAAAGACCCAATCCAGAAATGGAAATCTGAGATGAATACACACTTCTCAGATGAAGAAATATAAATTATAAATAAATATATGAAAAAATGTTCAACATCATTGGTCATTCGAGAGATACAAATTAAAATAACACTGAGATTCCATCTCACTCCAGAAAGAATGGTTACCATTGAGTAATCAACCAATAACAAATATTGGTGGGGCTCTGGGGTACAAGAAATCCTTCTCCATTGTTGGTGGGAGTGTAAACTGGTGCAACCACTGTGGAAGTCAGTGTGGAGATTCCTCAAAAAACTAAGATTAGAGGTCCCATTTGACCCAGTTACTCCCTTTCTGGGCATTTTCCCAGAAGAATTACAAACATCATACCACAGCGATATATGTGTACCCATGCTTATAGCAGCACAATTTATAATAGCTAAATCTTGGAAACAGCCCAAGTGCCCATCAACAGACGAATGGATAAAAAAGATGTGGTCTTTTTATACAATGGAGTACTACTACTCAGCTATAAAGAAGGATAAACTTGAGACTTTATAGGTAAATGGATGCATCTTGAGAACATACTCAGAGGGAAATAAATCAGTGTCACATATGTAAACGTCATATTATCTCCCTAGTGTGAGAAGCTGAAAGAGTAAAAAAGAGCCAAAATGTACAATAGATATTGAGAAATGGAAAGAAACTGTTCAAAAGGAAAGAGAAACTGGGATGAGGGAAAGGCAAAAACAATGAAAGGAAAAGTAAA